CGTATGTGGACTTTGCGTGTTCCCTCTGTGTGTGTGTGTGTGTGTGTGTGTGGACTTTGCGTGTTCCCCCTGTGTGTGTGGGGACTTTGCGTGTTCCCCCTGTGTGTGTGTGGACTTTGCATGTTCCCCCTGTGCGTATGTCTTGCATTTTTAGTGCAAACATAGTGTACAGCAAGGAGCAGAGTTAATCTGCATTGAGAAGCCTTATGGCCTGGGGGAAAAAGCTCTTCCTGAGTCTCTCTGTCCTGGACTTAGCTTCTTGTCTGCACTGTGGTACTAGCACTTTGTTCTGCTGTTGTTATGACTTTTAATGAAGGTCCCTGGATCTCCTTTTGTACGTCTCTTCGCCCCCCAGGATCCAGGTGAATGACCTGATCGTGGAAGTGGACGGCACCAGCCTGGTCGGGGTAACGCAGAGTTTCGCCGCGTCGGTGCTGAGGAACACGACGGGCAAAGTGAGGTGAGGGACCCCGTGTCTGTCACCCAGGCTGCAGGCCTACGTCTGTCACCCAGGCTGCAGGCCTACGTCTGTCACCCAGGCTGCAGGCCTATGTCTGTCACCCAGGCTGAAGGCCTGCTACGGCGAACCGGCCCTGTGGCCGCAGCTCAGAAGCAAATGGGGCTGCAATGCCCTGCTAGCTAGTCCTGTGCCTTTTCACACTCATGATTTCTAGGGTGACCCCATTACACCCTAAAGCTGGAATGTTGTGTCTGTGTAGAATATTGAGCCTTTTTAAAGATGTATATGCATCTTGTATTTCCGCTTTTCTGAAACCATTTGTGCAGTGAGGGGTACTGTGATCTGGACTCTGTTTGGGGAGGGGCTGGGAGGATGACAGGGGCAATTCTGAGATTTTCTTAGTTGGGGGACATAAGTGGGGCCATAAGTCATACAGAGAGGCCAACCTTATCGTTAGCCAGTGACATGCTTTGAATTGGTGAGTGACAGGGAAGGAGACACTCCAGGGGCCAATCAGCTTTCAGCTGGAGAAGGAGGCATAAACTCTCAATTGAATACCAGACCCCGCCCCACCACCACCACATACACACATAAACAAATAAACAAATAAGGGCAACCCAGCATCAGCAGGTTAACCTGGACAGCATGGTTTTGGGAAGAAACAGGAGTGGGAGGAGCCAGGGGAGGGGGGGGGTGGGGGGGTGGCGAGCAGACGAGACAACCCTGCTGTCCTGTGAGCGTCCTTAAAGCTAAAAACTCAAACCATATGCAGACCCTGAGAGCAGGACCTTCGGGCGCGGCAGATGGATGGGCTCCGGGGGTGTCAGCACTCCCCTGCCCCCCCCCCACGTCATTCTGCCTTCATTCATTATTGAAGGGCCCGCGGACAGCAGAATGGCCCTGACTGGTAGTATTATTTGACTTGTCTAAGAGCACAGGCCCATAACCAGACAGCTCGGGGATGACAGGCAGGGTGGGTGGACCCGATTCTGTCAATAAAGGCCTGATCAGCAGTAGGTTGGATTTAAGGAGGACTTGTTGTGGATGGAAGAAGGACATTTCTGGCTAAGAAAGCTTTTGAGGGATCCCAGGCATTACAGCAATCAACCCCTTTCGCACTCGATCATACTGCGATTGTGACACTTAATGGATGCGGGTGAACAAACCGGCGTATGGATCTGCGGATGGAGCCTCTTAGCTCATGCAGCTCACTGCAGTTGCCCTTGATCTGATCACTCATTGTTCAGTGTTTTGTTTTCATTACTTCCTTTTGCATCAGGTAACAGTGCAGTCTAAGCTGAAAACCTGGAGCCTCCTTGTTTTAGGTAATAATGTGTTCGACCAACAAAATGCACAAGCTTTCTTTTCTACTATATTGTCCCCCCCGGATCATGAATTTGCTCACACAGTGGTAAACAGCAGAGTAAAGAGAAACTGCAGAACACAGTGAAGGCTGTAATGTCATTGCAGTGTTAACGCTGCATTCTGAACATCCTGCTAAATCAATCTTTCTCGCTTCTGCCCATTTGCTGTTATTTCTGTATCTGATTATTAGCTGCAGTCCAGTAGCACTCAGTGTTTTCTTCCATTAATCTGTTCCTTCCCATGTTGGTTGACTCACATTTCCGCTGACTCCAAGGGCAGTTCATCGCTACGTGTCATGGCGTCCTGGAATCTTCGAGTGACCCTGCCTGCTCTCTGGTCTCCCTAAGCAGTAAGCAGAGGTGACGGCGTGCAGCTCGGCCACAGGGGCTGACGTTCTGAGGGCAGGGGTCTCACATAAGATGTATTTTGACAGCATCCCCTGCTAATTAGACGGAATATTTTTTTGGCACGTCTGTTGGGTTCATTTTGGCAAGAAAAGTGGGAAGAGAAAGCTGGAGGTGTTGGACACCCGCATTTCGTACTGGGGAGCCCAATTAATCGTCGGGAAAGGCAGGAGTCAGCAGGAAGACTCGTGTGATTCGATAACGCAGTGACAATGAGACTTAGCATGCGAATCTACACTCCGGATCTTAGTGAGGCTAAGCTTCAGAATCTCTTATTCGTCTCATTTTTCATTTCTTTTTGTTTGTGAGCAGGACAAAAGATTTGGAGCAGCACGACCGTCTCTTGCTTCTTGTCCCTCTTGACCTTCATAACCTGTCAATGAATCAATGTGATTTTGAATTTCAACTAAAAACATTTGAGCAGAAATTGAGTATTGAATTCTTTAACCTAGATGTTATCAAAGGATTATTTAAAGGAAAACTAATAGGATTGGAATGGAATGGAAAGGAAAAGTGAAACTAGTTTTATAAACAGTATGAGATTAATCCTAACAAGAATATGAACAAACTATCACTTCATTAAATGTTTATGTAAATGTAGGTGGTAAAATGAAGAAAATGACACCTTGGCATGAATACGTCATGCCTAAAAAGTCTGTTTGCTGATTTAGTTCTTTGCACAGTTACTCAGCATTTGTTGTACTTTGTTTTTTCACACACAGAAAACATGTGCAAACAGCCATATGTGGAAAATGACAATAAATTTCCCCGGTTTCTTTGCCAGTTGCGGCACTGCGCTCTAGGAAGACGCGTGAGGTGTTGGCAAGGCCAGCTCACTGCATTCGGCAAATTGTCGTCCTCTGTGCAGTGCATCATATCCACACGCATTGCTGCTCTGGACGTTTTTTTATTGCAATTAGTTGCGTAACCATGTTTATGCTCCTCTAAGTGCTCATGAGAGCAAAATTGTTGATTTAATTAAACTCGGTGCATTATTTCTGATGCATAATATATGTTTTATAGCATAAACAAATGATGGTGATGCTGTGTTGCTAAGTATTTTTAAGGTGCATTGACAGATTAGCGAGGATTTATCACATCTTGTGTCTGTGAAGAGGGAATATTCCAGACCTGAGAGGCGAATGGAGACCTTCTGTCTAGAGGTCTTACATCCAGCCTGCATATATTAAAAAGTCTTAGGCAGTGAAAGGAAACGTTTAAAGGTATTTCTCTGGGTAGTAAGTATATATTTGCTCAAAAAATATATACAATATAACATTAGAAATGAACAGTAGCACAATTAAATTAATTAAGATTTTTTTCTTCTGTTTTCCAAAATGTTTCTGATCTCTTGGTGGATGGTTCCTGAACTTCTCCTAAGGGGTTTCACAAATTTCCCCATCAGTTCCCTTAATTAACTTAATTAGCTAAATAACTTGATGAGGTGCTGATGAGCCAAACATGCATGCTAGTGATTAACAAGTACATGGATATTTGATAGACTGCCCAAGACTTTTATACAGTACTGTACATATTTTATTAAATGAAAATGCATGAATCATATTTAATTAAATTAAAATTAAGAGTAAATCCTGCATTTATGCTCCACATAAGATTTCCACATCTGCTACATTTTTGCTGCATGGTTTGCCTGGTAGAGAATAACACAGTTTGGGCAAAATGGGTTTTCAGGGACCATTTTATGTTAGTTTGCTTTCTGAGCACCCGCAGTGATAAAATAGCAGCAGTGCTCTAAACCACCTCTGGGCCTTGCTTTCCAACCTTCACGCTGTTCTCTTTCAGCTGCTATTATTGTTGGTTAAGACCATCTTGTTCTGCCGCTTGTATTTCTGGAAGACTGCAGTACAGAGAAAAGCTCTTGCCAGTGGCCCCAAGATCAGTGCGAGATCACAGCTGTTTGCAGTGTCTCAGCTACACGTGAAATGTGTCATTTATTTTGCCGTAGCATAACATCCTTTGAAATCCCGAAACATCTATGTTCGCCGAAACACCAGGCGTGTCCTTCACAGCCATCCTGCGTAGGATTGCGCAGGACAGTGTCTTTGAGAAGTCGCTTGTTATGTTTTTTTTTTTTATCAGTCAGGATACACTGTCCCCAGCTGTGTGTGTCCTGCGTTATCGCATCTTGATCAGCTAGGTGACAGGATGGCCTAGCGGACACTGACAGCGAGGAAACGGCGTGCGTGGGGCGTCGGTTAGCAAAGTGCAGGGGTCTCCTCTGCTTCCATAGAGTGATGCGTCCATCTGAAAGATGGGGGGGGGGGGGTGAAAGATGAAGGGGCGGGGAAAGGGGAGAGAGTGCAAAAAGCAGCAGTGTCATGGTAAGCAAGAGATGACCCACGATGCCTTTCACATCTGAAAACGTTTAAGCAATTTGTCTTTTTAATCAGTATCAGTAATTTATTAATTAGATAATGTTGCTGGAGCAGTTGGTGTTAAGGGCCTGTCAGCTGTGGGATTTGAACCAGTGATCTTCCAGTAAGAGGCACCGAGCCCTGCCCCGCAGAGCCCCACCCTGCCCCATTCAGACATTTTAACCAGCTGAATAAACATTATAGTGGGATACCTAGATATCCCATCTCAGATGTACTATTCCAGTCAGGATACAACAGAAATTAGGTCCTAACCAGAAACAAGATCATATACCTCTTTGTCTGTTATTCTGTGCACATCAATAATATCATTCTGTAGATTTGTAGCAGACATGCTGGCATACATAAGAATGCACCACACCATGCCTTATACCCCTGGTCAAGCAGCAGGCCATATGGGTATGGCCGCCCCATACTCAGCTGCAAACACTTCCTTACAAGTCACTACTAATAGACACATTTTCACACGTGCTGCTTTTCTGATTGGCCGACGCCTTTATTTGCAGATTCGTGATTGGCCGAGAGAAGCCCGGTGAGCAGAGTGAGGTGGCCCAGCTGATCCAGCAGACCCTGGAGCAGGAGCGCTGGCAGCGGGAGATGATGGAACAGCGCTACGCCCATTATGGGGAGGATGAGGATGAGGTAAAGGTAGCCCAAAAAGCCAGAAAAACATCAGTGGCACGTGCTATGTGATAGACAGTGTGCTAACGCTAAGCTGCTATGGCGTCCACACTGAAGGAAAGCGTTTAGTTCTAACTTGCCAATGCTAAATTCAGATATTCAGAGAGGCTACTTGTATCCATACTTAAATGTTCAGCGTATTTTGATCTTGACTTAGACCCTGCTGAGTAGATTTACTTGTGTCCTTTTGCTAGGTGAGGCACTCACAGCGTCTGTTCAGCTGTACAAAGCCGAGTGAAATAACAGATCAGATAAAAATGTTCCGACGACGGTGTGCAAAAAAAATCGGGGGTTAGTGATGAGCGTGCCTGCGACTGCGGCCGTGATGCACACTCTGTGAATAACTGGGGGCCTCTGACCTCCCCCCACCGCACCTCCCCATAGCCTTAATGTGAGGGTTTCTACCTTTCCTCAGTTATGCAAGAAGAACAGTGATTTAGTGACGGGGGGGGGGGGGGTGTTTTAACACTTCAGATGGGATTAGAAGAGAGGTGTCTTGTCATCCTGATTTCACGACGCAAGCCAGTGCCAGCTGAGAAAATGCTTCTATTGGTCCTTTTGAAACATAAACTTAAAAAACGCTCAGATCCACAACAGTAAATTGCATAACCGGCACAGATGGTGGGTGTTTCGGGAGACAGATCCAACTTCTTTTTAATATTTGGGTTTTTATCAGCAATAATTATATAACCCGTGAGCCAAAATCCAGTTTCGGTTCATTTCATGTTTCAGGTTTGGTCTGGGTACCCTGGGGTCGTGATCCGTTCTGAATAAACACCCCACTCTGACTCCCTCGGGGAGGTTACCTACTGCCAAGAATTTTGAGCTGAGAAGAAGGTTTTGATGTGTGACTATCATTGTGTTTTTTAATGGTGGTTTGGCCTCCAAATCAAAGGAGGGAACCAAAATTAGGATTTTTGGCTACATTAGACTTATTAGATTTACTTGAGAGCTGGGAAGAACAGTGGAGCAGCTCATTGGAGGAGTCTGTGAATGACGGAATGGAAAGGTTTCCGCCGGCTTGTCTGCTGCAGCTTCTCTTTAAGGCTTCCTGACATGTCCTGCTCTTTTTGTGCTTGTGTGTGTGGCTGCTTCGTACACACATTCATTTATTCAGACGTGATGTGCTTCCCAAATTGCTTTGTGGGCATTCTGCCTGCCTGGATTAGCATAAACTTGACCACTGTCCCCACCTCGCTGTCCTTCAGATCCTCTTCATCAGCGTAATGTTTAACGTGTCTTTGTGTAAATACAAAATGGTGGGCTGTATTTTGTTTTGGTCTGGTGTGGGTCTCCCTTACTCAGACAACTTATTTGATTTGTCGAAATAAAATTGCGCCATCTGCTGGCCGGTAGCCATAGAACTGTGTGGAAGATACAGCACTGACCATATCAACAAAGAAATGCAATGCTAGTGATTAAACCCATCTTTACTATGAAGCATTATGGGCTGCGAGCAGAAATGAGTTTGCGACGCACTGCATTTGCAGGTCAGATGTAACCTAACTCAATAATTCTGCTTTTGTACAATTGTTCACAAGATTGTATGCTCTGCAAAGGTTTTTGCTTTTGTTCTTCTCTTAATGGGTCAAGTGGTATCGATCCATCACAGTCGCCTTAGGAACTTTTTTTTTACCCTATTAGCAACACACTACATAAACTACTAGATAAAGCAAGATATCCAGCCAGCTATATTTTACTAGTTAATCTACACAAGTCAGGATGTACTTATCAGGAGTAGAATATTTGTGAGTGAAGTAACCTGTGAGCAAAGTAATAAACTAAAAAATAATTGAACACAACGACCTAAAAGGAAGCCTTGGAGTAAGAGGAACATGACTTCAACACATTAGGTGTATACTCTATACATGTAGTATGGCGACCGTACTAGGTTATCGGGATCCTTTGGGGTAGACCAGGGTGTCCTTGAGTGACTATAGAGGAGCCCACGCTGAGCAGGCCCCCTGTTCCCGTCAGACCGGCGAGTACGCCACCGACGAAGAGGAGGAGATGAGTCCCATGTTTCCCAACGCCATCGAGGTCTTCGACTTGGCTGAGAGTGAGGACATGCTGTCCCCCATGGAGATGGATCCAGAGAAGCTGGCCCACAAGTTCAAGGAGGTGAATGGCTGGGGGGTGGGGGGGCTGACTGCAGAGAAGGGAGCTGGTCAGACTGCTCCGCCATGTCCGCACCCCATCTGTGGTGCGGCGTCCATACTTTCTGTAAATATTTTCACTGCTTTGGCCACTCCTTCAAACCTCATGAACCGTCAAAGTGGTGAATCTTCTTAACCTGTCCATGCTGCTATCATTCAATTTGCTGAAGTTCTCTATTATTCCAACCACACATTTTGTTTTTTGTTTTTTTTATCCCATCAGCTCCAGATTAAGCATGCTGTGACTGAGGCTGAGATCCAACAGCTGAAAAGGAAGGTGCGACCACAACGCTTCACACCGCGCTTTACAGGACGTGGTTATCAAGCCTATAGCACTCCATTGCCAGGAAGTTAAAAATAATATCACGCAGGGTGTCTTTTTTCATAGAATTTCTAAGTTTGTTGGGAGAGAAAAATATGATCATTTGATAGATGTGCATGTCCCAAAACATCCACCCAGCCAGCATAGGATGGAGGAGAATCAGAAGAACGGTCACAATGCATCAGTATTGACCGAATCCCAAAGTCAGTGATGGAGTGCAAAGCCATTAAAGCAGTCATGATACTGGTGATGACTGATACATTACTGGTCATGAATTGGGAAGAACAGCACTCAGTAATGTCATTCAGTAAGGTTTCAGGGCACTTAGATGCAGTAACCATGAAACAGGCCAACAGTCTACTGGCTTAAGGTCTACTGTTCAGGAGGGTCCCCGGTTCAGAAACCATCCTTTCAGAACATATGCCCAGTGGATTGGAGGCCTATCCCACTAGTGGATGCCTTACCAGTAAGGGAGTAAGGGCCTATGCAAGCGGAAACTCATCCAACCGCTAACACCAGAGTGAGTGGATCACAGCCAAGATTGGAAAATGTACTGAAAAGCATTACAGAACCAGGTGAACCTTTTAAGAGTGGCAATGGAGATGCATTGGTCTATGGCCACATAGCTCTTGTCTATCCTTGTCCTCCTGGATGATGTCTGAGACGGGTGTAAGCTATCAAATATAGCTACTTGTCTGTGTAGAGTGGCTGGTGCATAGGAATGTAGAGTTATACTTCCAGAGCTGGAGGTTTGATTGCATGTCCCAGCTCTTTGTGTGTGGAGTCTGTATGGTCTATCCATCTTCATGGTGGTTTTCTTTGGGTATTCTTTTCCTCTCTTGCAGTCTGCTTGTAAATGAATTGGTATCAAAAATGTGTGTGTGTGTCCTGTGATGAACTGGCATCCCATCCTGGGTGTTCCTTGTCATGTGCCCTAAGTCAGTGTTTCCCAACCCAGTCCTCGGGGAACCCCGGACAGTCCACATTTTTGCTCCCTCCCAGCTCCCAGCCAATCAGGAACACCGAATACCTGGTACAGGTGCGCTGAGCTGGGAGGGAGCAAAAACGTTGACTATCCGGAGTTCCCCCGAGAACTGGGTTGGGAAACACTGCCCTAAGGGGCTGCCCTGGGATAGGTTCCAGGATCACTGCAACCCTGTACTGGACAAACAGATCTTATGATGGATGGATGGAAAACTCCATTTTTAAGCCTAATTTCAGTGGCGATGTTGTAGTACAATGCACTATGAGTGATGCTGACCGCATGCCGATATTCCTCGTGCAGCTGGCCCAGGCCGACCAGGCAAAGCTGCGCTGGCGCATGGAGAAGGCGCAGCTGGAGCAGAGCCTCCAGGAGAACAAGGAGCGCGTGGAGAAGTTAGAGGGCTACTGGATGGAGGCACAAAGCCTGTGCCAGGCCGTGGACGAGCACTTGAAGGAGACGCAGGCCCAGTACCAGACATTGGAGAGGAAGTACAGCAAGGCCAAGCGCCTCATCAAGGACTACCAGCAGAAGTAAGGGGCGCTGCAGGCGGGGCAGCTGGCGGGGGCAGTGCAGGCGGGGCGGCTGGCGGGGCAGCTGGTGGGGGCAGTGCAGGTGCGGGCAGTGCAGGCGGGGGCAGTGCAGGCGTGGCGGCTGGCGGGGCAGCTGGTGGGGGCAGTGCAGGTGCGGGCAGTGCAGGCGGGGGCAGTGCAGGCGTGGCGGCTGGCG